GCTGATACTGATGCTGCTGATGATGATGGCGATGGTGACGATGATAATGATGATGGTGATGATGATGCTGCTGGTGATGGTGATGGTGATGATGATTGTGATAATGACGATTCTAGTGATGCTGATGACGCTGATGATGATGATGATGATGATGATGATGACGCTGATTAGGATGATGGTGATGATGATGATGATGATGATGATGATGATGATGATGATGATGATGATGATAATGATGGTGATGGTGGTGATGATGATGACGATGATGAGGATGATAATGAGGATGAGGATGATGATGAGGATGAGGTCGAGCATGATGAGAGGTACGCACAACCTTCGGCGACGCTTTCAGTGCAGGCTTGGCTGGTCAGGTATGAGAACAGAAGGCAGCGCGGAGGACCACACCTTGGGCGCATACAGAATCACATCGACTACTGGACGATGCGACTATTGGACGATGCGACCGCGGCTCCGAGAGCAGTTGAGGGGCTCCCTCCCCGAGAGGCGCCTCCCACCCTTAAGATGGAGGCCCGCACGCACACGTTCGGCGTTGCGCAAGTGGCTACTGCGCGTGGTCGGAATGAGGGCCCTCTCAGGACACTGCGGCTGGACGAGACGAGAGTACTACCCGGTCTGAATCATGCGGTGGCCCAGGGCAGTGAAAGTTCCAAAGTCAAAGACCGACCGCGCCCTTCTCCTCGGCGGCGTGGCCGGCGACGTCGCCGGCGACGATCGGGTACACGCAAGAATGGCCCTTCGGCAGAGTGACCGAGCCCGAGCACGCAGCGTGCTGCTGTCACGCGAAAGTGCAGCGATCGGCAAGCCGCGCACCAAAGGTCACCCTTGGGGCAGTGCCACTCCTCAGCCGCGCGCAGAGGGGGGTAGGGGTAGGGGGGTAGGGGGAGGGGGGAAAGGCTTCTTAGAAGCACCCCTGCTTCTTAGAAGGCGCGGGCCTTGTCTGTAGATGTAAGGCCGGCGCCTTCTAAGAAGCAGGGGTGCTTCTAAGAAGCCTTCCCCTCCCCCTACCTTCCTCTGCGCGCCGCCAAACTGCTGCGTGCACCCGACGCGCAGCACTCCCAGTGGGCGCCGACGGCGCATCAGCACCGCACCTGGCAGATGCCCTCTCTTGGGGCCCAGGGCGGAGCCTCGTCGACGTCGTCGTCGTCGTCGTGATCTTTTCGCAACGTGGACGCCTGGAGGCCTGCAGACCTGCTCCCCAGAGGCCGTTTCTCATCCCGGGTCGTCCTTCGACGGTCACCGGGCCCGGCGAGGGCCCCTCGAGGCTGAAGTTCGCGAAACATTGTCCGTCGATAATTTCTTCGCATCGCGAGGGGGTGGGGGTTCGGGCGGGTCTAGGACAATGACAACATCCGTTCCAGAGCGTTCTGGAACGTTCTCAGGGCGTCTCGGAGCGCTCTGGAAAGGCCGCGGCGACCGATGCATCCTTCAGAACCGCCAGATCTCAGAGATTCCCAACTTTCGGCGGCGAGCGAGGGGGGAACGAGAAGGAGAAGGCCTTCTCAGAAGGCGGCGGGACTTCTCAGAAGCCCTCGCGCCTTCTGAGAGTTTTTTTCTGTCTTCGGGGAAGGTTTAGAACACTTCTCAGAAGGCCAGGGGACTCCCGAGCCTTCTGAGGAGGCCTTCTCCTTCTCACTTCCCCCCCTCGCTCGCCGCCGAGATTTATCTCTGTCCACGCCTGTCCCTGTCTGGGCTGCGCCTGAGGGGTCGCCCCTCCGGCAGCGAGGCGGCGGCGGCGACGGCGGCGGCGCCCCGCGCGCCGCGCCGCGGCCTCAGGACCTCCGGGGCAGCCGCCTGTCAGGCCGGGCGCCCCTGCCGGCCCCGCGCGGGCGCACTGTGCGCGTTGTGCGCGCGGGCCAGGCTTGGCGCCGCGGCCTTCGCTCAGGAGGGGCAAAAGCACACCGACACAATTGATCGTCGATCCCCAGGAGTATCTGCGACTATGTGTGTGTGTGTGTGTGTGTGAATTTGGTTGTGTGTCCGCGGGGCCTTCATTCGTCGGGGGAAATTCGACTCGATTCTTCACGCTTCGCGTATCCCCACCAGCCCATCTCAAAACAGCAACTCTTGCGAAGCATGCCGACAGTCGTGTTTTTCAGGCGTGTTTCCGCCTGCCCCCGCATATCTCCCCTGTTCCTCCTTCCTCCCGCCTCCTTGTACATCCTCCTTGTGGTGGGAGCGGGAGAAGGACGAGGCGGAGGAGGAGGGAGAGAAAGCGCTCCTCGTGGTTTGAGTCGTTTGGGGTTTCTCGTCCTGGTGTGAGTCGTTCGGGCCCTTCTTCCTGGTGTGAGTCGTTCGGGCTCTTCGTGGTGTGAGTCGTTCGGGCTCTTCGTCCTGGTGTGAGTCGTTCGGGCTTCTCGTGGTGTGAGTTGTTCGGGCCCCTCGTCCTGGTGTGAGTCGTTCGGGCCCCTCCTCCTGGTGTGACTCGTTCGGGCTCCTCGTGGTGTGAGTCGTTCGGGGCCCTCGTCGTGGTGTGAGTCGTTCGGGCTCCTCGTGGTGTGAGTCGTTCGGGCGCCTCGTCCTGGTGTGAGTCGTTCGGGCCCCTCCTTCTGGTGTGAGTCGTTCGGGCTCTTCGTGGTGTGAGTCGTTCGGGCCCCTCGTCCTGGTGTGAGTCGTTCGGGCTCCTCGTGGCGTGAGGCGTTCGGGCACCTCGTACTGGTGCAAGTCGTTCGGGCCCTCGTAGTAGTAGTAGTAGTAGTAGTAGTAGTAGTAGTAGTAGTAGTAGTAGTAGTAGTAGTAGTAGTAGTAGTAGTAGTAGTAGTAGTAGTAGTAGTAGTAGTAGTAGTAGTAGTAGTAGTAGTAGTAGTAGTAGTAGTAGTAGTAGTAGTAGTAGTAGTAGTAGTAGTAGTAGTAGTAGTAGTAGTAGTAGTAGTAGTAGTAGTAGTAGTAGTAGTAGTAGTAGTAGTAGTAGTAGTAGTAGTAGTAGTAGTAGTAGTAGTAGTAGTAGTAGTAGTAGTAGTAGTAGTAGTAGTAGTAGTAGTAGTAGTAGTAGTAGTAGTAGTAGTAGTAGTAGTAGTAGTAGATGTCTTTTGGGAGCCTCTTGGAGGCCTTTTGGGGCGTCTTGGGGGCCTCTTGGCGGCCCCAGGAGCTTCTAGGAGCGTCTTGGGTGCCTTGGGGGAGCCTCTTCGGGCCTCTTGGGAGCCTCTTGGAGGCCGTTTGGGGCGTCTTGGGGGCCTCTTGGCGGCCCCAGGGGCTTCCAGGAGCGTTGGTTGTGTGTCTGCGGGCCCTTCATTCGTCGGGGGAAATTCGACTCGAATTCGTAAGACTCGAGCTCGCCGGAGCGATTTTTGACGGGCCCGCCCTGGAATTTATGACAGTCCAGGTTTCGCGGGATGTGTTTACAGCAGGGGCTCTCGCGTCAAGTTCCAGACTGGGTCCAGCCAGCCCGAGGAGGAGGAGGAGGAGGAGGAGGAGGGGAGGAGGAGGAGGAGGAGGAGGAGGAGGAGGAGGAGGGGGAGGAGGAGGGGAGGAGGAGGAGGAGGAGGAGGAGGAGGAGGAGGAGGAGGAGGAGGAGCAGCAGTAGGAGGAGGAGGGAGGAGGAGGAGGAGGATGAGGAGGAGGAGGAGGAGGGGGAGGAGGAGGAGGAGGAGGAGGAGGAGGAGGAGGAATAATAATAAGCATAATGCCAATAATCATATACATACTCAGAAAACTAAGATTAATACGACGAATCAGAATAATACTACTAATAATATGCGGACGAAGAAAAATCATAAACATAATACTACTACTAATAATTATCATAATACTAATACTCAGAAGATGAAGAATAATACGGGTAATACTAATAATAAAAATGCTAATAATAATAACACGGAGAAGAATATGAAGAGGAGGAGGAGGGGGAGGAGAAGGAGGAGGAGGAGGGGGGAGGAGAAGGAGGAAGGAGGAGGAGGAGGCGTGGGAGGAGGAGGAGGAGGCGGCGGCGGCGGCGGAGGAGGAGGAGGAGGAGAAGGAGGAGGAGGAGGAGGAATAAGAATAATAATATTATTATTAATAATAATAATAATATTACTAACAATAATAGTAGTAATACTAATAATACTAACAATACTATAATAATACTAGTAGAATAGCAACATAAATACTAAGAATACTAATACTACTACTAATAATAATAAGCATACTGCTACACATAATAAGAATGAGGCAAACAATAATAACACTACTATTGCTACTAATACTACTACTACTACTACTACTACTACTACTACTACTACTACTACTAATAATAATACTACTACTAATCGTACTAACAATATTATTAATAATGACAATCATAGACTCATAATAACACTACTAATACGAATCATAAGCATACTAATTATACTAAGACTAAGACTAGTAATACTAGGACGAATAAGAATAATCATATTAAGACTACTACTAATAAGAAGAACAAGAACACTACTACGAATAATAAGAATAATAATCAGAAAAAAGGAGAATACTAATAATACTAATAAGAGGAAACATAAGAAGAAGAGGAGGATGAGGAGGAGGAGGAGGAACAGCAGCAGCAGGAGCAGGAGCAGGAGGAGGAGGAGGAGGAGGAGGAGGAGGAGGAGGATTATGGTATGATGAGGACAGTATGAGTAGGAGGAAGAGGAGGATAAGGAGGAGGAGGAGGAGGGGAGGAGGAGGGGAGGATGGCAGCAGAGGAGGAGGAGGAGGAGGAGGAGGAGGAGGAGGAGGAGGAGGAGGAGGAGGAGGGGGAGGAGGAGGGGAGGAGGAGGGGGAGGGGTGTGGGAGGAGGAGGAGGAGGGGGAGAAGGGGGGAGCAGGTCGGGAGGAGGACGAGGAGGAGGAGGAGGACTAGGAGGGCGCGAAGGGCGAGAAGGGCGAGGAGGAGAGAGTAGGGAGGAGGGGGATGGGAGGAGGGAGGAGTGAGGGGGGAGGTGGCAGGAGGGGGGGGGGGGGGAGGAGGGAGGAAGTAGAGGAGGGAGGATTTAGAGGGCGCCGGCGGCCGCCGCGCCCCTCGAGGCGCCTCGTTCTTCAGCTTCCGCCCCGGCGACAGGAGCAGCACCGTCACGAAGGCTCCCCGGGGGCCCGCCCTCTGCTGGCGGGCCACAGGGGGCCGCCCCCCGCGGATTTCGGATACAGCAGGGGTGGAGGAGGGAGGAGGAAGGACGGAAGGAAGGACGGAATGAAAAAAGGGAGGAGGAGGAGGAGGAGGAGGAGGAGGAGGAGGAGGAGGAGGAGGAGGAGGAGGAGGAGGAGGAGGAGGAGGAGGAGGACGAGGAGGAGGAGGAGGAGGAGGAGGAGGAGGAGGAGGAGGAGGAGGAGGGGGAGGATAGGAGGAGGAGGAGGAGGAGGAGGAGGAGGAGGAGGAGGAGGAGGGGGAGGGGGAGGAGGAGGAGGAGGAGGAGGAGAGAGGAGGAGGAGGAGGAGGAGGAGGAGGAGGAGGAGCGGAGGGTATGATGATGCTGCTGATGATGATGATGCTGCTGATGATGATGATGATGATGATGATGATGATGATGATGATGATGAGGAGGAGGAGGAGGAGGAGGAGGAGGAGGAGGAGGGGGAGGAGGAGGGGGTAAGGCAGGAAGGAAGGGATGAGAGGCGACTCGAAACAACACCACCAGCAATAGCAACCTCAGCAGGCGGCATCGGATTCCACCTGCATCGGATTCCACGCGCCCCAGGTTCCACGCGCGTGGGATTCCATGCGCACGCGGTTCTGTGCAAACGGGGCTTTGCGCGCGTGGGTTACCACGTTGGGTTCTACACGAATCGACTTCTACGCGCCTGCAGTTCTGCGTGCACGGGGAATCCCCGCGAGTGCGTACGCACGTGGGATTTCACGCGAGTGGGTCTTTACGTGAGGTGCCCGTGCGCACCAGGTGTCACGTGCATGAGGATCCACGCGCGTGGGGTCACACGCACGTGGGGTCCCACGTGCAAGGGGTTCTACACATATGGGGGTCTACAAGCATGGGATTCCGCGCGCGTGGGTTTCTACGCACATGGGGTCCATGCACAGAGCCACGATATCGCTCGCTGCTGCCAGGAACAAATAACGCCAATGTTGCTTGAGACTCCTTTGCCATCCGCACGATGCGTGTTTTCATCAATAGCAAATTTTCGAGACCCCGTGTGGCGCGCGACAAGTAAACTGACTTACAGAACAGCGGTGCGACTTCAGGACTTTCTCGAACCCGCTTAGCCCTGAAGGTTCACGGCGCGACTTACTGCACGACGGGCCAACTTCAGCAACATGCTTGCGCCACACCACAACTCTTGTTTCACATGGCTTGCACCACGTAGCTTGCACCACAACGCTTGCGCCATATAGCTTGTACCGCGTAGCTTGCACCACATAGCTTGTGCCACTTACGTAACTTGCACATCCAGAGTGCAATAACTAACCGTCTGGTTTCCATGCTGGCAGACATTTGATGTTTTCCGTCTTTGGGGGGCCTGCAGGATGCCTCCCGGTGCAACGGCGGGATTCCCATGGCGAGGTCTCTTGGGCCGATGCATTCCTCGTCTTCCTCTCGTTCTGCCTCTTCCTCCTTCAGGCCCCCCAAAAGGTTACCTTTGTAGCACGTTTTGCTAGGCATTGTCCGATGCTCATGCTGTGTACCTCCAGCGCAGACTGCCCGAGCACTGTCTGGCGCTCTCCCGCGCCCTGTCCGTGGAATGTTGCCTGGCCTCATGCTTGGCTTTCGTCGCACCTGGTCGTCCTTGCAACCTTCCGCCCCCTGATTTGATAAGGTCTCGGGCTGCGCGCAGACACTCCCCCCAGGTAGTCCCGGCTGGCCTCCGCAGGCCCCCCGAGTAGCCCGGGGCAGTCTCAGCACCCTGGCGCTGCCTTTGGCGGCGCTTCTCGGGCGCTCCGCGCCCCTAGGCTGGGGTGTCGAGACCACCCTGGACTACTCGGGGGTCCTGTTGAGGCCAGCGGGGACTACTAGGGGGGTCTTCCCTCTTCGTCGTCCTGCGCGCACGGGAGGAGGAGGAGGAGGAGGAGGAGGAGGAGGAGGAGGAGGAGGAGGAGGAGGAGGAGGAGGAGGAGGAGGAGGAGGAGGAG